GAGTCACTTTATGTCCGTTGGCCAATTTAGGTATGGGCTATGGTGACAGCTGCTGACGGTGTTCCGATTGGTGTGGCCATCAGGGTTTTCCCACTGGACACTGGGGCTGGATCTCTTTGGTTAGTGAAAGCACTATGCCAGCACGCCCTATGCAGGTGAAAGCTTTTACCACTGACAATTATTTAAAAGGTGACCAGTGCTGCCCCTTGAAAATGCTGAGCCCTGCCTAGTTCTTTCAAAGAATGCTCTGGTGTGCTTGAGATAGTGCTGGGTCCTGCAGCTTTACAAGGCAACGGAGTCTTCCTTGCAAATGGTGAGAGCCGAGACATAACCTGTGTGTTTAGTATTACTGTTGGCTAGTGGTAGGCATCTCCAGTACTTGGCCTGGGTGATGCGGGTATAATCCTTATGTGTCTCGCTCTCTCTCTGTGCCCTATAAAGTGCTCGGGAGCCTAACTCTGAGCCAGGGAATTCATGGTGGAGGAGATGGATACCCAAACATTAAGTATTGTGGCACTTAAAATTTGAGGTGGCAGAGTTTAAGGCTTTCTCTGCATCTTTGGATTCTAAGTCTGTTTTTCAGAATAATTTGCTTCTGAACTTTGGGATTTGGTTTTGGTTGGGTTTTCTTTTAATTTTCTCATGAAGTAAATTGACCCCTATTGGACTAATCATTTTACTGTCCCATTCTGGCTGTAGCATGATTCCCAGGAACATATGGTTTAGAAACACCAATATTTCAGGGTTTTTAAAGATGAATCTTAGACAAAAAGTAACATTAGATGTCCAAAATAGTATTACGAAAATTGTACAGAAAATCTTGACTCTGGTATCTTCCTTCATACAACATAATGGGAGTTCTGTGGTTGTAAAGTGTGAGGAATTCTTCAGCTTCTGTCTCTCAGACTTGGGAACAGACTCATTTCAAACCCCACCAGTGTGAGCACTAGGAATCCTGAAGGAACTTCCAAACTTGATTTTCTGTGATAACTTTGTGGCACTCCCTAATTTGACTGCAGCTAATCAAGTTACTAGAACATGATGCTTCTGGTGACAAATGGTGCAAGTTTGCCCCACTTCTCCCATGGCAGAGATGTTTCCAGCAGAGGAGCCTGATTTCAGTATGCTACATGGACAACTGCTTTATAGTATCAGTATGGCATTATCCATGGGATTTTCACAGGTGAGATGTGCACCAAGATCCAAATATAGGCTACGAAATAGTAGCTTTTATAGGCGCTCTCAGAGTTTCCAGCCTAAAATGTTAACAAGTGTGACAATTTTAATTCTGCTGTTTGTAATTACATGTAGAACTACTGTATGAGGGGAAGCTCCCTAAAAATCTGTCATTTTAGGCAAAGTCACACTAAAGTTAAGACTGTTTAATACCATCAGAAACTCAAAGTCTCATGACCGAAAATACTAACTGCCATAATAGCTACTTCAATCTCTAATTCAATCTGCTAGTTCAAATGTTTAATGGCTGGCACAAGATCCTGTAAGGAGTAAATTAATTCTGGCAGACTTATAGCTATGTCAGGTATCATCTGTCATCTCCTATCAGATCCAGCTGGGCAGTCCCCTTATAACCAGGATCAAGCCAACTCAAACACCATTTTGAGTGCCTGGACTCAAGAAATCAAAAAATTTTAGGTGCACATAATCTATTAAAAATGAATGAAAGATTTGGCATGTTTTTCCTAGCCTGTTTACTCAGAGCAAGATTAAGCCACTGATATCTTTGCTGAAGGTGGCCCCAAGTCTCTTTTTCCCCCAAATGCTCCATTAATGTAAGAATGACTATACCAGGTCAAACCATGGCCATCTTGCCCTCTCTGCAGCAATGGATGTCTACGGAAGAATAAAGAAACATTAATGATGCTTCCCCAGAATACTCTTCTCTAGCAATTTATGGCTCAGGAACTTCCTCAGTCAGAGGTACTACCTTTGCATTTAATAGTACTTGATGCCCAGTACCTGCTGACCTCAGAAATTTCTAGCATCCATAAGAGCACCCACTACTTAACTGTTTATGTAAAGAACTGCGTATTTTTTTTCCCTCTGAATCTGCCACCTGTTAGTCATACTGCAAGAGCTGGTTGAGTTTCCCACCTTGCTTCATTCAGTAAGAGCGAGATGACAAGAAAATTAAAAAATGCTGTTTCACGGTCCTGGGTTTGAATGATTTTTCTTCATCGCAGCCATGCACATATTCTTCAACTGGTGTCCTTAGTACAGGATCATTGCCTGGTTCTTTGCTCTAATTCATAGTCCTACCTCTAACTGAAATGCTCCGAGAACAGAGCTTGAGCATTTTCAAGGTCAGCCCCTCCACGTGGTAGCTTACCTCAGCAGCCAGAACTGGTATTGTATGGCAACACAGCAACATTCAATTTTCCTATTTTCTGAACAGCACAACCTCTGTTTCTGCAGACTTGCTCATGTAAGTCAGCAGTAAGATGAGTCACCTGGAAAAAAACTATAATCATTTGTCCCCTAGGAGTCATATAGTAAGTTAATTATTGTACAACACATTCTAATACAAAATACATGAGCGGTTTCAACTTGTTGAGGTTGCAAAGGGCAAGAGAGCTTTTCAAAATTTCCATCGGTTATGGTCTGGGAATGCTGGGTTTCCCTTGACTCGGTATCTATTGCATAACCAGAAACACATTTGGTTCCCTTTGTTGTATGAGACAAAGCTAAAGAAATGTGTGTGTTACTACTTTGCAAAAATAGAGTAGATAGATACCTAATCAGCTTATGTCATGTATGCAATGATTATAAGCACAACTGCTCTGGGGCAGTTCCTCAGCTGACAAAACCAATTCCAGCTTGTATCAGCAGAAATAATGCTCTTCTGAATCTGCAAATACCCCACCAGTATTGCATGGGAACTCCAAGTATAGGAATGTGCTGTGCCATATGAATTCTAGGTAGCACTGTGTTAAAACCTGCTTGCCTGGAGTTCACCTGTCAGTGTACCGGACTTGAATCTGATGATTGTTGTGTTTTAGTTATTCATACCCAGTCATCCCAGCTTTGTTGGGCTATTGTGTGGTTGTTATCTCAGCAGGAGATAATTTTATCAGTGCATAGAGAGGAGAATCTGAAAACAATGTAAATGCCTTCAGCATCTGAAATTTTTCTGTTGAGAATCAGAAACAAAAAACCTTTATAACTTCACAAACAGTGAAGGAGACTTTTTCCAGTAGGTACAGCACGTTGTTTTAAAACCTCCGGTTCTTCTTATTTACGGATCCTCCTTATAGGAAGGGAAGACTGGTATTAAAGGTCCTGATTTAAAATCACCAATTGTAATTTTAGACATGGCTCTGGCAAAAGACCCGGTTTTCTGAACACTCATTTGGTAGATCTACATGACGGCCTCTCTCTTCTTTCTTGGAATTACTACATTAGAAAAACTAATTACTTTAAAAAAATCTTTGTTGTCAAATGAGCTTGAATCTTCACAGTCACTCTGTATCTTCCAGTATTTGACATGCAAAACATAGAATCTATTCCATGTTCTCTTTATAAAAGCTTCTATAAATAGGTCAAATACTTGGAAGTGTATTCATTGATCTGTCGTGTAGACAGGTGCCAGTCAGGTATTTGAAGAACAAATAAGCTATCTCAATTGAGCAACAAGGGACAGCAAGCAAACGGCGATACTGTAATCTCAAAGTATGCCATCATCTCATCGGAATGCCTTACTTCCATAATGGAAAATTAATACCCATTCCATATAATGCTGGACCTCTGTGGTCATAAAGAAACAAGTGAAGTTCATCACTTCGTGATCAAAATACAAAATAGAACTGTAATTGATGCCATCTGTTGAACCTCGCATAGGCAGCGGAGGGCAGTCAAGTAACCTCCAAGACTCTGCCTTAAAGTGAAAGAACTTCCTTGGAAGCTCTCTCCCCCTTTCAGAAGTGCCCCTCAGGGATTGGTAGAAATGTTGAAATAACTTTATCTCAAGAAAAAAGAATATCAACCACATTATTATTACATTTTCTTCAAAGACTGATCTTGTTGAGGTTATGGCAATTGAACATGTGGTCCAATGGAAGCCTCTCCATGGTGTGCTAAGATGAAGTAGGCAGGTCCATCATCCATTACAGACTAGCTAATGCATCATAACAAAAGTAGCAAAAACTTGCAATGTGGTAAGGAATCAAGTAAGAACGACTATTTTACATCTCGCCATATTAAACAATCCTGGCAAAGGTGAATATATTGCCAAACTTTTTTGTTTGGCAGAATTTTACTGCTTACAAGCAATGATTTAGCAGCACAGATTGGAAGACCAACATACATCTTCCAGCCTCTCCCCTCCAGAAATAGGATTTTGAAATGCCTCTTTAGCATTTCAGAGGCTTACAGAATTCTTGTCTTCCTGCTCTGAAAACAAAGCTCAATATTATTCTTAATTATAGACTTTGCTAAACAAAGGGAAGGACTGTTTGGAAGCAATCTTTTCACTTAAATAAAGGTGTTTTTTTGTTACATAGCCTATGGCAGGCACTAAGGATACCAGTCTGCCACCCAAGGAAGGCAGAGAACGCACCAGTCGTTATTTCAGTACATTTAAGTGATAGACACAACTATAAAGGAGGAGGAAAAAGATCCAAAAGCTACTGGGGCAGACTTCGGGTGCTGTCTGACTAATAACGAGAGCTAGACAAGCCAGTGGTGCAAACTCAGCTGGCTTTCAAAATGTAAATATTATCCAGTGGTGTGTGGATGTTTCGCTGGAAGCAGAAATGTGGCATCATGATCCTAGCTCTGACACTGGTCCTTTCTGTAGGATTACACAGAGCACTTCATTTCTTTGTGCCTAATTTTCATTATCTGCTGAGGTAACGATTAGTTATACATGACATCTATACTTAGTTTCTGTGACCCTCTGCTAATCATAGTAAATTATTATTAATTAATTGAATATGTCAATCAAAATACTAATTTATGAAGACTCTGTACTACTTCTCTTCCAGGAATCATTCCAAATTTGGCAACCTAGTAATCACAGTGACTTCAGCTGCCCCATCTGCCTCCAGACAGCCACTCTCCCAGTAGAAACCAACTGTGGACATTTATTCTGTGGTAAGTTTTCTGGATTGACAGTGCAGCGCTTATACAGGCTACTAAATGAATCACGCTTCTTACAGAAATCTCAAGTCCTATATAAGAACCAGAACCAAGCCCTTGTACCATGAATTAATGTAAGTGCTCTCACTAGAAGCAGAAGTCCCATCTTTATATCCCCCCAACAAATCAGTAGCAGTATTTTTATTTGCTCATTGCATTCACATCTACAAGGTGCAACTTTTAAAATGCCCAGGAAGTCTTAAGGCCACAAGAAGTAACAGATCATTTCACAGGATACTGCTAAATTACAACACAAACTCATGGAATGGGTAAAATGCACCAGGAAATCACACAATTTGTATTCAACTATGCAAAAAAACCCTGTTATAAAAATCAACAGTCTCATAATCATACAGTTTGTAACTGTGAAAGCTCAAGATGTAACAAACGTGAATTCTTATCTTCAAGCATGAACTCACTTCTGGAAAGACAGCTTGTCTTTTTAATCAACAACATAAAAATCCAGCTATCCCATAAAATTAGATCTGATTGTATTTATATTAATGAAAATTGGGACACAGTAGGCTTAGGTCTGATTCTGTTCCACAGACTTGCTTCCTGTGTGAAACATCTGCCTAAAATAAAGCAAAAGTGATCTAGAGCAGGAAGGCATAATTACACTGGTTTGTAGTCCTGTAAAAGCTTTCTAAACAAACAAAAAAAAAGGGGAACTTACATATTAAACAATGCAAAAATTGAGTTTCTAGTCATGTATAAACCTTCTTTTAATCTCTTTATCATTTTTTAAGTAAATCTGTGTGGTCATACAGGGGAAAAATGTTTCAAAGACATCTCATCACGATGGATGCTGAGTAACTGTTTATTCCAGTCCAGGATCTGTCTTAACAGGAAAGGGACAGATCGAGATTTAGAGGGTCCTTCTGTTGGTCGTCTCCTGTCCTCACCCCATGCACTTATAGTCACTGGATAATCTAAGTAAAACTGTAATTCTCTAGATAAATGTGCATCCTAAATGCCTCCTTTGAGGCTGCCAAGCCATATGGTTAGAATTACAAAATTTAAGTAATTTTTCAAAGGGAATACAAGGATGAAGCACAGAATAGGGGAGGAAGTTATGTTCAAAACTGCCTTTATAAAGAAGATTTCAGGATTTTTAAGGCCCACATTCTATACCACTAGAGCCAGTGTGAGCTTTGCACCTGCTTTGACACGTAGCAGGATAAGGCCACCAGCACACTTGGACTGAACATTGTTTTTCTTAGGCCTCTGACATACATCATCGTCCAGTGCATTTACAGGTGAAGTTTACAACCTCACTGCCCCAGGGGCATATCAGGTCCCTTGCTGTCATCCCCACAGCAGGGCTGGCAGAAGAGAACTGGAGTTCATGATCTGGTGAGGCTGAAACTGCCCGTGAAGGTACTTCAGGGCCGCTGAGCTGCTGGAGGTCAGCAGTCCCTGGCAGAGGGGCGGGCAGGCAGCTGGAGGCAGTGCTATCTGATACTGCAACAGCAAGATACGTCAAAAGACACTGGTCAGAACCATAAAGCTCCTTTCTACTGCTCTGGCATGTTACGGAGACATTAAAGCAAGTGCAAGTTACATTTACAAGCCATTTACAGTTTTTTAGCCATGTAAGAGTGTTATAGAAAGACGTAAGCCTAAATGAGAACAGGGGACTGTAGTGTTAATGCTGGTGCACTAAAAGCACATTTTTATCTTTAGGAAGTGTCATTTTTCTCTAGATTGAAATGGTGCTCACACAGCACAATTCCTCGTCACCGCTGCCACTATCTCCACCCTCTGAAACCACAACAAATCAGTGGATCATGAACAGCCAGGGACACTTTGTAAGGCTCATCTACCTCAATGAGTAACACCACTTAATACTCTAGGTTGTTTTATGTTTTCATAATATTGTTTTATAACATACAGGAAAAAGATGCTTTGAATATAAGTCACTCCAGGACAAACAGTAAGCATATGGCCTCAAAATGTGTTTCAAATAATGTCACAGAAGTTACCATTTCAAGTAAAAAGACAGACATAACAAAGATCATCAACTTTCCTCCTTCTCCAGCCTGGTTAATTTTCTCTGTTCCATCTGTGAATATGACATAATGATATGGACTTTATTTTTATTTTATTTTGAGATCTGCAGAGGAGAAGTACCATATACAAGCTTGGTACATGTTGCTATCATTGGCTGTGTATATTTAACTAGGCTTTACTTTCCTCAAGTACATCGTCATTTACACTCTGAAGCATTGATTCCAGTGCAATGCATTATATATGTTATGACTATGTTTATATAGTAGAAGCGGCCTCTGTAACATGTCTGTTTTTCGTGTCTTAAACCAATAAAACTTTACACTGGGCTTATCAAAACCATTCTGCAGAGATCTAAGTCTGTTGTGACTGAAATCAGTAATAAAACTTCTCTTGATGCCCTGTGGAACAGAGCTAAGGCAATGCTGAGCTCTCTTAATAAATTCGCTCTGGTAAAAGTTTTATTTTAAAAATGTGGTCAACTCAGAGCTTTTAAAGAAGATTAATGTGGACTTATAAAAAATGTCTGATTTTATTATTAGTAGTAATTCATACAGTTTGTCCTGAAGTTTTCCTTTTCAGCTTCAGTTTGAGCCATATGTTCAGGAAGTTCAACTGAAAAGCGATCCTTGAGCAATATTATTTTTTTCTAATTAACAATAGCCACAGAGGTATTTTAGAGAAACCTACGGACTCCCTCAGAAGGTTGTGTAGCAGGCTAGATTAAAACAGGATTTTGTCTATTTTATGAAAAATGCACCAAAGCACAAATAGGTCAACTTCAGAGGAGTCCTTCCTTTCCTGTCTTACTAAGCAAAGGATTCTGCATGCAGCACATTTTAATTTCCACAGGGTTCTTTTTTGAAAGCCCTTGAAGAGCTATGGGATCCCTCAGTGCCCCATTGGCCTCACGGGGACCGAGCACTGGCACGGCAATACAGCCGTGCAGATCACGCTATAGGATCTGGACCCAGAGGGACGTAGTGGTTCCTGAAGTCAGGCATGATGTTTGTCAAATGCAAAAGTTCAAGCGAAGGCTGGAAGCTGGCTGCCAGAGTTTATACATACAGCACAGGGATTTAGAGATCAACGCAGCCATGTGCCCAGCCAACTGGTCTGTATATGCAAACAAAACAGGAGAGTCATAAAGAAAAACCCGCACTCAAATGAAAACAAAAGTAAAAAGCACAAGTCAGAGCAAGGTTCATAAAAAACATCTTTGGGCCAAATTTAACATCCTTAGTATATAGGTCATAACAGTATCATGAACTTTTTTATACTTGATTTCAAACACAGTTTCCCCAATATTCCATTTACCAGTGACAACAGACAAAGTAAGTCTGGGTGCACTGAGGGCTCCTGAAGACTCCTCATTATAATACTGCTTACAAGAAACTACTGGCTGTTTTTTTTTTAAGAACAAAGAGCATTGTTCAATTCAATAAAACAATTCCATCAAAATGGCAGCGCGGCGTTCTGCTTCTGTTTTCACTGGGGTCCTTGTCAAACTTGATCAGTTTAAATGTTGAGAGATTTTTTTCCTGACCTGTCACACCACACGCTGCGCCCAGGAGCTGAAAGTCAAGCTGTGCTGCTTCTGATTAGATGCTATTTATGCTTTGCTGGTTTTGCTGTTAGCGCCGGCACTGACATTCATGTATGTCAACCACTGCCGTCAGTTATACGTGCAGTCTGCTCTTACTATCCTCAGACTCTGCCCTCTTTCACACCTGAGACCTTACTGTAAGAAGAGATGACATTGTATTTGGAAATCACTTAGCAGTTGTCCGGGTAAGAAGAATCAGAAAGAATGCAGCAACTTGCTCATCCAGAGCTATGCAGTTCCAGAAGGGTAACAGACTTGAAATACAGCAAGAGAAAGAAAAAGAAGCTAATAGACAAAATAGCCCAATGTCTGATACTTTATCACCAAGATCAGTGTTGTGCCACCAGGAGCCTGCATCACCAGGCTGTCCCTTGGCTGTGCATGTTGCTTTATTTGGGATAACTGGCCCTCATAACCCTTAAAAGCTGTACCGACTCTGGACGAGCTCCACCTCTACGCAAACAGGTGCCTGCTTGTGTCCACAGCAGCCAGCGCTGCACTCTGAAGGGTACCTGTATTCCCGAGTGCTTCAGCCACAGTCCGGGGAGCTTCAAGAATAAGATGGTATCTGAAGGAAACAAAACTGAATCAAAGGCTCCCTTAAGAGGTCTGTGTGTTTCTATATACCAGTGCAGAAGAGCTCAGGCTCCATTTTTACACAGTCATTTTGCAGAGTAAAACCATGTATTAAAATGAAAGCAAAGAATTACATTAATTTTCACAGTCACTTGTAGAAGGAGGGTTTATTAATTCTGATAACTTCCTTATAAACATTAAATATCCTCAAATATATTTGATGTGTCTTCATTTCTCTTTTTTTTTTTTTTGCTGGTAGGTTCCTGTCTGGTCACATACTGGAAACATAGTCCCTGGTTAGCAGCGATAACCTGCCCCCTCTGCAGACAAAAGGTAAGACTTGCCTCCATCTGTATTGTGATATGTACAAAATGACAAGCTTGAGCTCTTAAGATCAACTTTATTTATCGTCTAATTTTCCGTAGCATTTCAAAACCCACTTAGACTTGAATGACCCTGCAGCTATTTGCATTTATCATTTGACACGTCCTATCAGGCAACTCTGTGAAATATTAAACAGGCCTCCAGCATTTTACTGCTGTATAGTTTATTGAATCTCTGGGATAACATCCCATAAAAAGCAATATGGAAGTTCCTAATCTCGTCTAACCCCTGCCAGAGGCTGCCTGTTGTACTGGAAGGTTGGATGCGGGTTATAAAAGGAAAATGTTCTTGCTATTGTGGAACTGCTGGAGCTGGACAAAGTTCCAGTTGTGAGAGAGACTATGGAGAGACATGTCCTACAGAACGCTACCCTTTGTACTGGAGATTAAAATACACCGTGCTAATGCCGATCTCCTTTTCTTATGAAGGTGGTTCTTCTGGATATCTCTTGTGAAAAGCAACAAGATAAGCCAAGTAAACAAACTGTACACGACATCAGAGATTACAACAAGCGTTTCTCAGGGCAACCTCGGCCTGTAAGCATTTATAAATCTACATTTACCTAGTTAGTAGTGCATAACACACAGAGGGTTGAAAGAGACCCAGCAACGAGAACTAGTTTGTGTCCCTATGTGAATTACCCTTCCATGCACTTATTGGTGATATCATAGTGGAAGTGCTGCCATCCACTGCTGGGTCCGGCATCTTCTAGTAAAGGTGCTTCTCAGAGCTCCTAGCTCAGAGTCGTCCTGCAGGGAGGAGAACGCACTGTGGGATGAAATGCAAGAAACAAAGCAGAACTAGAGATGGTCAGGCTGGAACTTTCAAATATGAACTCAGATTTGAACTGCAGGATTTGAACTTGCCTCTAAAATTTCAAATCAGATTCCAGCTTAGAAAGCAGCTTCCCCCCCGCCCAGGTATTCCCAAATTCAAACAGTCCACGCTGGTTCCGCACTTTCTTAAAGCTGGAATCCCAGCTGATACAGAGATACGGCAGGCAGTGGAAATGACGTGAAAGATGAGGGCTGAAGGCACAAGTGAGGCCCATTCTTGACAGGGTGAGGAATATCACCAAAGCAAATCTTCCTCTCCTGTCACATCCTGGTAGGGGCCTGAAAGGACTGTGGAGTCTGTTTCAATCTACAAACTAAACTAATCACTGTGGAGGGGAAGATTGTTTTTCAACCCAACAAACTAGCATTAATGAAGAGGAATAACCACTCAGCCCTATGGTTCCTGTCCACACTAAGGCGAGACTTGAGGCCTCATTTTCAAGCATTCATAGCCTACACTTGGTGCCAGATTTTGAGGACAGGCAAATACTCAGAGCAGTCATTCAGGCTCAGTTTCCAAAAGGATTCAATGTCAAGCATAATACTTTCTTTTCAAAGTGCTGGGGCACCAGAGATTCCTTTTGGAAGTGTGCCTCTAGGTACTGCAAAATAATTGAACAGCATAGGTGGATTCGGACAGCACAGAAAGTTTCTGCATTCAAGAGACTTGACTCTAAAAGTGCTTAAGAGACACACTGAACTGAAAGAACTGCATGCGTCAGAATGCAAAATAACGTAACTCATCTGAATATTTAGTTTGCAGATTACCTTTATGACATGCCGTTATTCCTGGCTCTTGCCTTGCGAGGAATCTTCACCTGGGGTAGTCTTGTATGGATTTTTCTCCTAAGAGTTGCTGTGTGTTCCTTTGGAACTATCATGTGCTTGTCTTCCCCATTTGACATGAAGCCTGGGCCTCTCTGCAGGATGCTTGGAACAGCTGATGACATGGTGGTTGTTTCCCTTCTTTTAATTTGTGTGATAAACATTTGTCAGCAGGTTGCATCTAGTGGGGTAAATGTGGCGAGGTCTGCAGCCCAGAGCATGCTGCCAGAGTCCTGACTGACTCAAAACTTGGATTCCTTGGTCAAACCTACCAAGCAATGACAGGCTTCTCTTTGATTTGGGGCAGCGTATGATGGATTTGCCATTCTGCTGCTGACACAGGCTGAAGCAGGACTCGGCAACACTTGGCATGGCCAAGTGATAGGATGTGCAAGCGCTTAGAAGACTAGTTACACTGTATACTCGCTAGACTCTTTCATGCTGCATTTTTCTGTAACTTATCTTCATAGAAAGTGCCTGAAATGAAAATGCCTAAAGCTGTGAACAGAGGTTAAAATTACAATGCCAATTAACTTGCAGTTGAAGAGTTTTAGAACTCTTGAGCTTTAACATTTTACATCTTGGCTCAATTTGAATAAAATTTTAATTTGAGAACTTATCAAACTGCACAATTTGCTAAGCCTTGTATAACACTGGGAATGTTAGATAGTATCACTACAAAATCATGTATCAGTGCTTTGTGTAATCACAGCTGATTACACATCCACTGAAATACAGATTTTTTTACAGCTCTGCAATGCGTACACTCCTGACTTTAAAACGGGTAATATGAAACTGGTAGTAACACTGGCTTGGAACAAAACCACAACTATAAGGTAGACGTAGGGGGAGAAAAGCATGGGGATTTGAACAAAACTGTTTCGGATAAGCCTGTGCAAGGTGCATAGCCTCCTTGAACTCTGTGCATCTAAGCTTTAACAAAGTCAGCATGACTGTTTGTTTCCTTTCTAGACTTCATGCACTCCTTGTGGCTTCCTTGTAAGTCTTGGTACCAGTTCAGCCAGAGAGATCAAGGCCAGTTTGATGATGATGACATAAGTAGCAGGAAGTTTATGGAAAGTTTGCCGAAGTTGGGGTGGGGTGTGCATGGCTGTTTATGCTGAGCTGCAAAGAGTTAAAAATGCTGGTACAGTGCCAGACAACCCTACACATCTGTCCCTGTATAATCCGTACATGTGCTATATATTTGGAGTCAGTGGACTTCATTTTTACATATGAATTGTATATTAAAATAGAGATATTAAAATTTATGAATATTTATTGTTCACAATACACTGGTCTCCAACTGTTTTTTCCTTCTACGTATTTTCAGCTGACATATTTTATTGTGCCCTTGAATTGTAAGCTATGATATACCATTCTGTTGCAGTTGTTGTCTTGCTTGTTACACTCTTCTTGTTATGATGTTTCTTCATTTTATTCCCATCAACTTTCATTGTCTTTAATTACGTCCCTGAACTTGTAAAGCTGTTTCTCTTAACAATGGGCACTTTGGAAATGGCAACAATTGCTTTTCCATGAACTACAAGGCAGGAAGTGCATTGTTTCTTTAAAAAAATTACCAGATGTTTTTGAGTGCTGACTACTAACATAAAAAACCCCAGAAACTATTATTTTCCAAGTTCTCTAAGCTTAATGTTGTTATTGTGTAACTTCTGTTTGCATTTAACTGGGAACTACAGCCTATGCCAATACTAAAGAATGGAATTTCTATCAAGCTAAGTGTATAAAGATGGAGTCCATCTACACAAATGCTGACTCCGTGCGACTGTAGGCTGTTCCTCTTGCCTAATACAGGCCCACCAGGAGGGCGGCAGTTTGCAGTTTGAAGAAAAGAAGGGTTCTCACGAGTGACCTACAACAGAGTTGTGGTGGATCTGAATATGCTCTTCTATTCTGTCACCCCTTGCTTCTTAATGCTCTCCTTCAGCTGGGGACCCCAGTTTTGCTTTTTAAACAGAACAGTATCTTTTATTAAAAAGTAACAGACAAATGGCAGAGAAAAACAAAGAATTTCTCAGAGAGTTTCACTGAAGGCACTGGCAGTGTTTGTATCTTACAGGATCAAAACAATTTGTACTGTCACAGGTGAAACATTTTTGCTGTACACAGCCAGAGTGTCCAAACTCTCTCCTTCCACGGCCCAGTTATGCCACAACCTGTCGTTGTGAGCCTGGCAGTACCTTGTAGGACTGACTATCCAGGGCAACCTTCAAAATCACCTGGGAACAAATAAAAGCCTTTTGTGGACTGGATTTGGCCAGCAGGCAGCCAGGAAGGTTTCTAAGCCTTAACAAATAAGTCTAAGGAAGGAAAACCCTTTCTGTCTCCCTCTGCGTTCCCTGTACCCAGAGTTCAGCTCTGCAGCCGGCGAGCTGTGTAGACGCACATGCCCTGAGCGGGGGCTGGCTGATGGGAACGGACAGGGAGAGCCAGGCTGTTTCAGGGCTGACTCCCTGCGAGGCAGCTGGCAGGACAGAAGGAATGCACCTGCATCACGAACGTATTTTCAGTAACTGTGTCGGCTCAGCCTGGTCTTTTAATGTCAACAGCGGGCCGTTTCACATCTGCACAGTGATTAATGCACACCGAGGGTGAGTTACTTGCAAAAGACAAAATGTCACAAATTATTGATAGCAAAACGACTGCAAGACTGGAGACAGCAGGAAACAGAAGAAAACAGAGGGAAAAAGATTGCACAGCTGCAAAAGTGATTCTCAAATATCAGCCACCAAAGAAGTACTATAATTAGAGTAAAAACCAAGCAAACAAACAGAGCTTTCCAATGGAAATCACGTTGGAGTCTTAGCTGTAGCAGACAGTAAAATTAAAAGGACCATGTGTGACGCCAGGTGTAGTTACCTGTGAAAAACATCGCAAAGGGCAGCGATTCAAGTTCGTCCGAGTCAGTTCCGTTGTTCCCCTGCTGTTCCTGCTTGTGGCAGTCTAAATACCGGCACTGGGGTACCCACAGCTGGTTGTCTTGTCTCTGACTGGAGCAAATGATTATACCTCATCCCTGGGGCGCAGGGAGTATTGACAGAAAACACCCAGTGCTTCACAGTGAAGTGAGTGCATTTTATTTCTGCTTAAAATTAAAATGTATACTTTGAATGATAAAAGTATATTTTTAAGATGGCCAGTACAGTAAGAAGACATTACCCTCATCACAAGTATCTGGAAATTGGGTACCCCTGCTGTTCGCAGATTACATGGCTCTGCATTAGAAGCTGTTCATGATGGAGCGATACTCTCTCTGATGTTCCACGAGTTTCAAAAATACTTCGTATTTCTTGTCGTAAAACCTGTATAAGAAAGTTAGTTAATTTCAACAATGCCTGAGATATTAAAAGCTCGATCCCCTGTCATATACATGTTGCCTTGCTTCACTTAGCCTCAGAGAAGCTCTGACTCTTTCCTACACGCAGCTTTGGCTAGGGTCAGCGTCCGGTACGCTGCCTGCGTAGGGCTTCCACCCAAACTCGTGACGTCAAGCTACAGTTGTTCCTTTCGTCCACCCTGTGGCCAGCTTTGGCTCTCAGACAGCTCTTTCTCCGCGGCGGCAGGCACAGGGGCTCCGCCGCTCTCCTCCCCGCGGACAGCGGCCCCGGCGCC